TGTCGCGGATGTAAGAGTTTGATCAGACAATATCAGGTAAAATGACAAAATTATATCTTTGCTCGAGACTGCGGAATAATTTCCAAATAATTATGCAATATTTTCTAAATTTATATAGGTAGAATTATATATTTTTGCAAAGATAATGTTCGCGCTTATTGCAAGTTATAAAAATATTGCAAACTTTGTGTCGTTCTAAATAAATAAATAGGATTACGTATAAACCGGAATGTGGCAAAGACGGGGATTAAGATAATGAAGATTATATCATAGAGGCTGATAATTAGGGATAAGAATAACTCTGGCCTGGCAACTAAGAGATTTAGTAGAATAAGTTGAAATGAATGGAAGCGGAGTCAATGGACGAGCCTTTAATCTAGAATCCGATTACTTCTCTAACCCCGTTCTGAAAAAGTAATGAAAGAACTTCATAAATCTCGTTAAGCTATTCAGATCTAGCTTAACCACATTGACCAGAGCAAGATTGCATATCCATTTTGTTGAAAATTGAATAAACTTGCTGTGCAAGATTTGTAGCGATCTATTCAATCGATATGTTACACGTTAACTTTACCATCGAGAAAAGACATTTTTTTAAATCTTGAATATCGGATTGTGCATAAAGCTTTTTTCGATAAGACATCACTGTCACACTAAAGATTTATCGTTTGATCCTCGCGCGCGCGCGTACACATCGTTTATTATATCTCGCACACTTCATTAAACTTGTTTCGCGTTTAATGAGCTTCTGGCGATTCTGTTGCTCATTCCGAGTCTCCGAGAATTATTTATATTTATTCCACATATTTATTCTTATTTGCAACTTACATTGCTTTTGAATGGAAAATTAATGACTTTGTTATATTTGATAACTTTGTTATAAATCTAAATTACTGCACACTAATTGCAATGATTGATTGGCATGATTCGGTTTTCTTACTTCCGATATGCGTTGGGAATGTTGGAAAATCCGTAACCATGTGATTCATACTCGTCGTGCGGCGTCGAAAATGGTCCACCCCTGTTGCCGTTGTTACGGGAGTAATAACTCGCTCCTAGCAGCTGCTGCAGCGACAAATGTTACGAATGTCCTCTTCAAGGACCATTTTCCTTCAGGCCGTGCAGCATCAGGAAGTATCATTTGCGTTACGCTCTCTAAATTAATAAGAGAAAACGCGATCCATCTTTTGAACTTCAAAAATATCTTCACAAAAATATCATGTTTCAATCGAAGCATTTTGATTTTTTCTTGAATGAGTTATTACTTTTCCAAGAATAAGTTTTTATTTAGAATACAAAAAGAGTTAGACATATTTATAATCTACACATTACTCTTTAAGATAATTTATGAAATCATGTATTTTTTATAACGTTATCTTTATTATGCAAACTTTTTGATTCTGTATTTTGACAGTTTATAAAAAAGACGATATCGTCATATACATACATACCTACATTGTGTATATTTTATTCTTATACCGAAAATTATTTAACGTACGATTATGTGCAAGAAATATCCATGAATAAGTTAGAATTATTAAATGTATAAAAGCAAAGTTATGTTCTCTCGAGTAAAATTTATTTATCATATTTTGCACGGAAAATGAGACGATTATCTGATATGTAAAAGTCTGAAAGAAGAGAAAATGTATGCGCATTTTGTGCAGAATCAGCATGTATCGTTGTTTGTATCTTTCGATGGCATCTGCGAAGAAGTTTGCGTAGATCAATTCTCTTGACTAGTCGGATTTCGCTCCTGCTTACCATAATCTGATGAGAACAGAAGCGAGCGAGACCGAGTATGCACCGTCATGCTTATTATGTATTTAGCGTGTATCGTAACTCATCCGACCGCCATGGAGACTATGTAACTCCAGCGTGTATAGGGCTTAGAAGTTGCGACGACTTATGACAGAACTTTACGAACGCTCTGTGGTTTATGCACCGAGGTCTGTGTGTCTTATCTATATTAAGTTCCTTCTCTTCTCTCGCGAAATTCAGGCTTATGTACGTGCACTCATATATTTACCATATGGCGTACGGTTATTTAGTATGCTAATGCGACAGCTCTACAGTACATTTCCTATGTTTGATATATTATTCTCCCTCACAATTATATTTATTTCAAGTTCTTGTTGTTTGTACTATTTTATTTTTTTTTGCGATAGCAGTAGGTAACTTTTAAATTATTCAAGAGCACTTTTCTAATAAATAGATATAATTATTATTTAAGAATACTAATTTTTTCAAATTATGTATATCTATTGTGTAATAATGTAGCAAAGTTTTTCCTATTATTTAACTTGTTTTATCTTTTATCAATATGCGTAACATTTTGAAAAATTTTATTGTTGTTCTATTTTCTATTTACCTGTATTCTATAGATATTTATCAACGATTTGAACATTTTACGTATATTTTGCGTTTGACTAACATGATTTTTATTAGTTAAATTTGCTGAACACAAAATTACACAAGGCAGTCTTTAAATTGAGGTAGCCATCCCCTTCGTGGAAGTTGGGCTATTTCTGCGAAGATTTGTACGGTTCTCAACTTCGCAAATTGTATGCACACAATTTGCGCGAGTGGACGAGATGGAACGTGTAGAAATTTGAACCTTTTGAAGGCGGATGGATATCCTTGAGATTTCACGGCAAATGTTTCGCAGTACGTTTGCATAACTGCTTCTCCTTTGAATTAACAGCGCCGTTCGTCCACTGCTTTTCCGTGTCCCGGCGACAAAGTGGTCGACGCATGCCAAGCATACAACTCGTTCTCGAAGTTCACCGAATGCGTTGAAAAATTTCGTTGGGGTCGGAGAAATATTTCTTCATTGGGTGGAAGTTTCGCGGTTTGTGAGTAATTACGCGGGTAAACTGCCCTCTCGTACCGAACTTTGCTTCATCGTTTGCTTCTCTCTGCTTTTCCTTAATCTCGCCCACTGTTTTCGTACTTTTTCCTTTTTGCCTCATTGCCGGTTTTAGATAGTACAGCGAAATTCAGCAATAAAACGGGGACAGAACCAATTGTTAAGATACTTAATGCTTGTCGGTACTAACCGGCGCGAAAAAGTCCATGGGAGTAAAAATATAATAGCTTCTGTAAAACTAGACCGAGACGGGTTTTATGCGTAAGTTATAATCTTTGGAGACAATCTTTGAATTACGGATAAAAATATGGTCAAACATTAATGCTAGGCGAAATAAAATTTTTTTTGTATTTCTTGTGCCTTTTGTATTCCTTATCGAAACTAGTTTACATTTTTTGTGATTTTATTATGTGATTTACAACTCGATTTTTATTTTGAATTATTGCATCCATAAAGAGAATAATATATAATTTTCATGCAATATGATCGAATCAGCTTTATCTCTCATATGACAATGCTTGTGCTTAATAACGCTGAGTGAAATTATCAAAGACTTCCGTTTTAGTTTGTTAAATGATAAATACATATGCTGCATGAATGCTGTACCATAGGGGTATATTATGACCAATTACTGATTAATCCAAACATATTTGATGTATTTTACAAGCCCGTTTTACCGAGCACAAGTGTAGTTATATGATAAATCTTACTTATCTCGGAATATACTGCAACAATATAAAATATATTTTCAATTTTAATATTGTAATTCAATATTGTAATTTAAGATAACTGTAGAAATTTTCATGAATGCACTTAGTATTAATTATTTCAAATTGATATTATAAACACCTTTGATTATGATTGCATTATTGCAACGGATGCATCAATTGATACAAATTATTATTAAAAATAATCGCAAACTATTTAATTTATTGTTTTACTTTTTATCGAATTATATACATATATTGATATTTATAACACAAATAGAAGAAAAGACACAGGGTTTCGTGTCATTGCTGATTGGTACAACGCGTTTTTAAGTAGCGCTTAAACGCTCGTAGAGGAGGATTACAAATCGAGGGGTAGAAAAAGCGTTTACGAAAGTTTTCAATTACATTAGAGACGGGCATTAAGCTCGCCTTCGACGATCCTGCGTAGGGTTCACCTGGGGATCCTCCATGATCGCGCGGGTAAACTTATAAACTATGAAAGTTACTTCCCTATTCAATGAATTGACCGTGCATCTTACGGTACGTGCCTCGAAACCATTTCGCCTCGGTTCTTTCTTTCTATCTTTCTCCCCCTCTGAGCGAATTTTCCTTTCCCATTTTATTGTGTCACCGCACGTGAGAAAGAATACAACGACAGCGGATCGACTGGAAAATTACCAGTTTTCACGAAAAACGCGAGGCGGTACATTGTACGCAAAAATAGATCTATCCTTTTGCAGTTACGATTGTAGGTTAAATTATATACCATTTTTATTGTTACAATTTACTCACATATATAACAAATATTGGATAAATGCACTTTTAATCAGAATGGATGTATGGAAAATTCTGTGTGAATTACTTTATATATAAATCTTACCATGTATCAAGAGGAAAAAAATGTAATATACACACACATAATACATACAAAATATGTATATAGAGAGACAATGTATTCACAAAACGACGTATTCCCTCTCATAAAATAGACATCAGTTAGAAATGATAAATAACTATAATTTTGACAGAGAATAATGCGCCAGGGTATTCTTTATCCGACAAAATGTAATACTAGTGTTTTCTATATACAAAGTGTTAGCTATAAATGCAATTGGAAATTCAACAACTCAGATCTCTGATCTGTCGATATAGCCGTGTAGCGTTTCAATCGTGCGTGACTCGTGACAATCGTTATCGCTGATAAGCTCGAATGATCGATAATTCGATGTACGCATGGAACGGCACACGGAAGCGTCGCTAAAACGGATGTCTGAATATTCGCTTTGCTTCCTGATGCACCGAGAGCGCATCAATTTTCGTCACGTCGGCGTCGGCAGGCGGCCGCAGGAGATACGGCCTGCCGACTTTTACGACACGACGCCACGCTCTAATGGAGATATGGTTTTGTTTCCCTGTTACAGAAGTGGAAAGGAGTGTAGGCATCGCAGCACAGGGGGCGGCGGGTGCAGCTGCAGGGGGTTCTCGGGGGCTGTCACCCTCTCCCGCCCCCTCGTCACCGTCGACCCCCGTAGCGACTAGCAGCCCCTCTGCTTCCGTCTCCTCGGCTTCGTCTTCACCGTCACCCTCTACTTCAGCTTCCGCCCTCGTCGCGGGACTCGATAAATCAGTGCTTCAGGTAAGCTTTGCTTACTTATACGCCTGCGTGAAGCTGCCAGGACAACAGTAGCCGAAAAGTATATACGCAAAGAAAAGAAATACATTCGACATTTATCCAAGTCTGTATAGTCTGTATAGTCCGTATAGCTATAAGTCTGCTATTTTATTTGCTACTTGGATTCTTACAATAATAACTATTGCGCAGGGATTAATGTTGGACTATGCTTGCACAATATGTAATCTGAAAATATTTATTTTAATGAAAAGTTATAGCAATTTTTATATTCTTCTCAATTATATAAGATTAGTTTTTTTTCCTAAGATTCTATTATTTCCAAAGCAACTTAATGTCGCAAGTTAAAAAACTACAAATAGTGTCTACAAGTAAAGCTTTATTAAGGAAAAATATCTTATTTTTTGTTTGTCTTTTATGAAACGTGTCTTCACATAATATCGAAAAAGTTAACAATTTGATAAACTGATACCATTACCTATACCTCTAGGCAAGAAGCTCAAATAACAGATAATAATTAACGGTCGGTTGTCTTCGGAATCCGATTGGAAGGTATCGATTTGATTACTTCGATGTTGCTGCGAGGCGAGAGGCTAGAAAAATTCCCAATGAAGAGTTCTCGAACGGTTTGCGATTTATTTATCCTTACTCGGGTTCGATTTATTTTCGGTTCTTTTTTTTTGCAATCTAAAAGCGTTGCCCTAAATGTTCCATATCTTAAATTTCTTTGAACAAAACGTGAGTGAAGTTTGCAATGTGGATTTCCGTCGTTTTCTCGCGTCGCCGAAAATGGCGGAGTTACGATAACGGCAAGAGCTTGCCTGTCCTCAGGCATCTCGGCTAATTAAAGCGCATAAATTACGCGAACGCGGGGAGAGACTGACGAGAATATGGCAACGTAACGCGCGTTCCTGAGTTCTGGCAGTAAGGTAACATGTCTCCAAGCGAATGTCGACGAAAAATATGCTAAACGACTTTGCACGTGAGAGATCGCATATTTTTGGGAGATTTGTCTAGTTGGCTGACAAAATAAGAATTTTATGTATTTCTTGTACATATATCGAAAAGAGCAGACTTGGTTACTCGCGTAATATCATGAAAACTGCTTTTAATATAGACATAAAAGTATATAGGATTATACATATATAATAACGTATCGCTAAATCGGTATATATGTAGCTATGTAGCCGGATTATACTCGTACGTTTAATTATATTGCGTTCCTTTTGAACTTTAACGAGCACGATATTAGATCTTTTTCTCTTTTACCTACTTTTTTTTCAGTCTGTCCGTATATTTAAACTCAGGAAACAGGTACACGCTCAAGCTTTGTAGAAAGAACGAAAGAGAAAGAGCTATATAAAAGGAACATACCTGTTATCTCTGACGGAAAAGCGTTTTCTTTGTAAACGCAAATTAAAACACTATTGTAGATTCTGTTAAGCTCACGAGCATATGGCGATATTCTATTCTGTGTGCACGTCAGTATTGTAGCGTGTCCCTCATGAATGAGGAGTCTTAACTTGGTTATCAAGGTGCCGGTTAAATTGGATCCGCTTTCCACAATTAGTATTCAGAGTAGAGCGATGTATCTGGTCAATATCTCTCATAATATATTGTACATGTTCCGTCTTAATATTGATACGTCATATCAATGCAGCAATCAATGAATGTGTGCAAAATTACATAAATCTGAGGGATGTTTAATTGTGGCCAAATAAATAACTTGAAATAGCAGAGAGTATCACATAGAAAGTTTTTGTAAGTACGAATTAATATCAAAAGTTATTTTTATTCGCGTTCTTATTTCGTTTTCGTTTATGCGGCTTATTCGTAACGACTTTTATAAAATGGTAACAAACTTTGTGTTACCACAGTTCTTTTTTTTTTCCGGAATACGGTTCGTCATAAATCACATATAAATTCGTGGTGAGAATACAGAAATAGAGGAAATATATATTTTTTTCTAAATAAATGTCAAACTGTAATAAAATAATCGGACGGTGCTTTGTGCGTGACATTTTAAATTTGTGAATAACGAAAGTTTCTGTGGTTATTAAGATATTGTCCTTTTGGATATTTTTATTACTATTTGTTAGGAATTCGCCGTAATAAAAAAGTCACTTTTCTCGTCACGCCTTTGCACCTCACCGATTTCGTGAAGTGTATATTAATTATAATTTACTGAATTTATTTATCTGATGTAACATCTTTGAATATATTATATATTGAATATATTATATATTGTACTCATATATATGGTTTTTTAACTATTATACTTCTTATTTTGATTTAATTATTATTTTATCATTTATTAGTATTTATTATTTTTTTTATGAATTCACGTATTGAAAATTTTTCGAATAGTCTTTTATTGCCGGCAATATTTCCGCGCATAAATTCCAATAATTTTTTACGTGAGCGGTAAGCTGATGTGCAAAATGCACAGTAATAGCTTTATCGAGATCGAAGAAAGTCATCGTCGGAATTGCAGATGGAGTCTTGAGGGCTTATCTATTGTTGATGCTGCCTCAGCAATAACTTCTTATCGCGTCAGCATGCTTCATAGGATCTCGACTTCGACTTCCAGTCCGCATTCTCCTTCGATCGCGATCTGGTTACGACGGAAAATTTCGAAAGAAATGTAATTTCGACTGAATATTCTGCAATTGGTGGCACGAGTTCGGTTATATCAGGAATAGGAATTAGATTTGTGTGACGACGGTGGACAGGCGTGCAAGGAGGGAGTGGGTCGATGTTCATGCAGGAGTATAACTCGGTCAATTTTATTGAATTACTCTGCCGGTTTCTCTCCCTTCACGCCATACTGATCCTCATTCACTTTCCGTACCTGTGCTGTTCTTTTGTGATGGACATAGCTTGGGCGTACAATCTAGGAAATATAGTAAGATAAAATAATTTAAATCTCACTTTTATATCCCGGATGTTCCTTTCATGATTCGACAGAGCGGAAATTTATCGTCTTTTATAGCATGGAAATTTAATTTAATTTAAGGGCGCACTTGGCCGACGCGGTAAGTTTAATTCGGTTTTAGTAGGTGCGGTAGCTACGTTGATCTACGTGATCAGCGTTTTATTACGTAAATGTTAATACTCTGGAATTCACCGAAGAATATCTCTTTGATTCGCACTACGTCTTCCTTCTACTCTGCGGGGTTTTTAATTTGAATGTACTTTCATCGTTACAGTACAATATTGTTTAACGAAGCATATCTACTTTTTCTATCCGTTATTCTGGTTTTACTTTTTATTATTTTTACTGATTACTTTTATTAACCATCTTTGTTAAAACCGTTCTTTTTGTTAAAGGACTTATCATGGCAGAACATAAACGCGTATAATCGTGCAAGTTGTCAGGTAAAATTCTCAAGCGTTTTTATTTTTGTTTTTGCTGAGCTTATATAGCGTGGTCTTTTCCAACTATTTTTCAAGACTTTATTCTCTTTGAACTTTTATGACCTCGAACTGTTACATTTATACATATTTCGCAAAATGTTTTTTGCCTTTTTGCGCATATCTGAGTGGCATTACAATTTTTTTGAAAACGTGACATTTTATAGACTCCGTAAAGGTGAAATATTTTTCATCTCACGTAACTTGCTTGCTACTAGGAGAAATCGGAACTATACTTATGTTACATAATTATGAAATATTTTTATGCTATATTTGATTTTATTAGATTTAGTTTGATTTTGATAGATTTATTTATATTATGATTGCGAGAAAGAGAGAAAGAGAGAGAGAGAGAGAGTGCGTTAACAATTAGTCGGCTAATGGTTAATTGCGATATGAGATTTACAAATATATTCCGGTAATGTGTAATATCTCCACCTATTGTCCAGAGAACTTTTAGCAACGTCTCAGCAAACATTGCATAGGCTCTAGGCTCTAGTACGCTTTTCCTATTTGCCGAGTCAACAGTCAGACTCCAGCCAGTCCAATGCCATAATAGCTATCTCTGGGCTTCTATTTCCGGCTATGCTGTCGCACTGACAAGTATTGTGCTGTTTGCATAAAGCGATGAGAGGCCTTGAGGTAACGAGACTCGAGCAGGAATCAAGTTGCCAATATGAAATTCTATTTCGGCTCATGACGATGGACCACTTTTTGTTTTACGCGCATGCTGCTTGTCATGACTGAGGCGTGGAGTTCGCCGTGTGACAATAACTATTGCCTTACTCAGGTCAATAATGTAAATTGAAACATTTGTACTTATAGATGATGTATTACGTGTAATTTATTTAGGATATTCGACGTTAATTTAAGGATATCTGTTTTGAACGTTGTATATGGATTTGGTACTACTCATTATCGTAAGGAAATTGTGCAACTTGTTAGGAACTTGAGTGTTTGTAGAGGAGAAATAAGGCAATAAAAAATCGAAATATTATAGCTTTATCAGTTCAACGTGTAATAATAACTCAAGATTACATTTTAAATAAAATACATTATTTATCTTTTTAATTCTATATCCATAATGCGAAAATAATACTTCATTTTCTTGATTATCTTTCTCTTCTAATTCTATAATAATGAATTAATTGATATTAATTTACCTTATATTTTGGTTTTTTATTCGACTGATGAACATTATATTTCCTGAATAATGGGGGTGAAAATTAATATGGGTAAAAAAACGCTTGTACACGGTAATGCGAATTTTTGACGTATGCAGAGCAAATTTCATATTCGAAACTTCTCCGAACGCGATGTTAGTGTATGCTTCTCTATCTCGAATTCCCGTGTTCGCGTTTCCATGGCACTCCAATAATTTGGAACTGACTCTCTTTGCGGTATTCAGCTTATTGGATCTTTGATCACCATTATTTTGTCTTGCGATAAAATATGTGAGTCTAGTTTGAGGCTTATTTTGCATAAAATAGTGAAATAGCAGACATTGTTTTTTATTGTCACATAATTATGAGTGATTAATAATGTAATAGCACTTCTAAGTCATAATTAATTAAATTAATTTTGCATTAATTATTGGAAAGATATTTCGATCTATGCATATATAATGTCTATACATGAATAATTAAAATTTCGATATTATATAATATATATACACTATAGAATTCCTAATAATATATGTAAAACAAAAAGAATATTATAACAAGAATATATAAAAGAGAGTTGCTTGCTCAACGACTTTTTTTTTCAATATTTTGACGTAGAACTACGCCTTTCTCGAGGGGGGTGAGGTAACTTCGGGTGCACGACTGCAACGTTTTCTTGCAACGAAAACATGCAACACTAATATTTCTCAAAAAGTATTAAAAAAATATATACTTTATTATATAGTGTTTTTGAAAGCTCTCAAAATGTGAGCTAAATGTTTCTGCAATTTATTTTGGTGGTTTTTTATAACCGATTTTCTTAATATGGCAATGTGTTCAGAATGTTCTAATACGTCGAATATTTCTTAAAAAGTATTAAAGGAAAATATACTTTATTATAGTGTTTTTGAAAGCTCTCAATGTGAGTTAAATGCTCCTGCAATTTATTTGGGTGGCATGAAATAGACGTAGGAAAGAGTGGAAAATATAATCAAATTAGTAAAAAATTAATAAAAAATAATAAAACAATGCGCAAATTAGAATTTTGCACATTGCCGCTACATGGACCTTTACCGAGGAACAAGAGTATCCCCCCAGGATCCATGAGGATTTCCCCCACGTTAAAAAAAAGATGGAAATATAGTTAAAAAAAATATAGTAAAAATATGTAGTATGTTTTACTTCTCAAAAGTTTTTAAACTAAAGAAAATAAACACAAATTTGCAAATTAAAAACTTGCATATTGCTTTTACATCATTTTATTTAGCTTATAAAGTTTCCTAGAACGAAGCCAATTCATTATATGCTAATAATTTGAGAAATTTTTTAAATGTCTTTTAGCAATTTTATTAAAATTTTCTAACAATTTTATCAAAGATATATTATATTATTTTCTATTTTCACTGAGCAATAATAATAAAAGTCTCGATCGAAAGGAAAGCGATAGAAGGAAGATAAAATGGTTTGTCCAATGAACCGTTTAATGCATCAAAAAGTCGTGAGATGACAATCGAGAAACTTCGTGCAAAGTGCACCTGCGCTATCTTTTTCGTGTTTATTTTTATTTCGAAAAACAATACCATCGCTCCCATCGGGAATCGCTTCTTGTGGAATATTTTATTTATATATTTATTTATATTTATACAATATAGAAAACATAAATTTTGCAGACTAAAGTGACATGTTTTTGATTATTAAGTTAAGAGCAATTGGGTACTTATGAAGAAAAAAAGCGTTTTAACGCGTTTTACGATTAAAATTCGCGACATCCGTAGTGATAAAAATATGGGTACCATCGTATACACGTTGCCAAGCATTATTCTCAACACAGTTGATTTTTGCAGGGATGTGTGTACGTCTTGTCGCGTTTTTTTTATTGCTCGGGTGCTAAGATCGATCGTTAAACTCTTAGACAAGAAACTCTAGTCTCACGGGGTGATTTTCGATGAGTGTAACGAGTACACCTAATACTCTACATAATGGATCGTGACGGATACAGATAGCGGAAATCATGTAACGGACCTACACTTGTGTAATTTATTTGTGTGAATTTACTCGTAAAATTTTGTAGCTTATTTCAGCGAAGAAACTGTATTTAAATTCAAGTCAAGAATTAAAAGGATTGAGGTCCACTTCGACCAAGCTCTGATTAATTTAATCGTTTATTAGTCCACTGGAAATGACCAATCCCATTTGTCAATCTGCTTAATAAGCAAATGCGATTGGTCATTTCCAATGGACTAATCAACGAGTTAATCGAAGTTTGGTTGAAATGGCCCTGAATAAGCTTCTTTATATCAAGATATTATTTTCTAACAAATCCTTTAAAAAGCTAATAAAGAACGTGCATTTTACATTGTGTTTTTCGTTAATTGAACGAAAGAATCCATTATTTTCCATTTTATGTGTTAATTATTTTTAGCTTTTCAGTTTCTTAATGACTCATTTATTTTCAGAATAATATAAATATGATTTCAGACAATTATAAATTTTGTTAAAATTCTGGCAAGAATTAACGTAGAAAATTGATCTTAAAATGATTTTTAACATAATATTTACACCTCACACTCTTAAGAGAAACAGTTCAACCGTAAGTTATATGAAAATGTATACAATGCTCTACGGTGTCCATTTTGAGGCGGAAAACACGAGGGATATGATCATTCTTCGACAACGGGCACTTAATCAAGGCCGCTTCGAGTCGGACAAGGGTGGGTGAAAGGCGGAACGAGCCCAGGAGCTTAGTCTAGGTGGCAGACTCGCAGGGGGTTGCCGGACCGAGCGAGACCTTAATTTCCTGTAGCACTACGGTTTATCTCTTCCGCGATTTATCGACTCCCTCGAAAGTTCCACGTTTGCGATCCGGGGAAATTCTCGTCGAATGCTAGTTTGGGTTTCTTGCATGGTTGCTGTTGCGTCGCCGACCGATCGATCAGTCGGTGTTAGGTCGAGAACTTATTCAGGGCGGTCTTTTTTTTTCAATAAGTTGTTTGCCGTAAACGTTTATTTGATTGTCATGATCTTTTGAGGTATTTCGACTAAAATTTGATACACAACGTACAAGCACGCTAAAATTGTCAGCGGAGATATTTCCGTTGTCTAGCGAAGCGTTACGCGCGCGCGCGCGCGCGGACGAGCTTTTAAATATATTATTGGCTTTGCAACTCGTAGTTGCAATGGAAATGCGATTATGCAACTTGCCTTGATATTTAATTAATCGCACCAATGAAGCCATTTACGAGGAAAAACTGTTCGCCGTAATGACTGCTGGAAAATGTAAATTTGTGATGCAATTGGACGTTCACTCATGCTGTATATACAATAGCGGCTAAATCCGTTTAGAGTAATTATGTTGCGGACTTTTTCGTGATTGAGAATTAGTCTCTTTTAATGTTGCTTTCACACGCGATTATTTACTTCGGTTATTATCGACACTTTAGTTCTGTTAACGCAAAATATTTTATTCGAAAATTTAAACTTTAGATTTATCAGGGAATGCACTCTTGAAATTTGACGCAAGTTTTAGGACACGCCTCGTACATTCAGTATTTGCCTATTCTTGGCTCTTGACGAATATTGAGGTAAATCGAAGTCGGCCACTTACGAACGGACACTCCCTACTAATTTCCGGCAGCAAATATCCTAGTTCCGGTTCTGCGTTCTCCCCCTTTTCGCTAGCTCTTTTCTATCTGATTTGAGCCACTTTCGGAGGATGGAGATATTTGCCACTGACGCCGATACTCACGTTTCCTAAGGGATATAAGTTTTATTGCTATAGCTAATTTGTGATTAATTCATCAAGATGGATTATCAATTTATGAATTGATCAATGATCAAAGATACATTAATTAATTTAATGCCGCTCTTGTTGTGAAATATAATTATATTTGCTTGAAATTATTTTTACTTCTATCTTTTATTCTAGTAAAGTAATTAATCATTTTAATATAATTTTCATATTATTTAGATATGATAATAGAGCTTTTTAATACAATAAAAGGCAAAATACTGGTAAACTTTTTTTTATATTAAGTGAATATATTCAAGCAATAAGAAAGGCATAGTTACGCAAAAAAAACTCCAACAAAACTGTAGTCTTTAATATTGTAATTACGTCTTTGCAGAACTAGTTATGTATAATTTAGGTATTGCTACCTTTGAACAAGGTTGCTAATATACTATCATAATTATTGTTTGCTTGATTACATTGCAGATACGTGACTGGCTTACGGTCGAAGAAGAGATGTTACGACAACAATCTGTGGTCGTCGGCGATGTCGATGAAATCTTGCATCTTCTGGACAAACAGAAGGTAAATCACTTATTAAAAATAATTTGTCATATTAAACAAATTTTCTCCTAATTAAAGAACGGTCACGTCATTAGTTTCTATAAGTATGTTTTTGTTTAGAGCAATGTTGAACCTATTTTCTAGAGTAAAAGTAATTTTGTAACTTGTGAATATACATATACAGATAAATAATTAATTAAAATTTGTACATTAATGTTTAACACAGTTAATAATGATATACGTTTAGTGCGAGTTTTTTAAACAATATATAACAGGAATATTTATTTGTATATATTCATAAACGACAATAAGCATGATATAATTGTTATATGAAAAAAAACGGGATGTGACGTTATTCAGTTCTATTATTACATGCGCATTTTATTGAAGCCGTGCTAGATATTAAGATTTTAATGAGCTAGATTGTTAAAACATTGCCAAGTTTATCAAAATTCGCCGAGGTAAGCTGTAAAGCTGACTAAAAATGCTTTCAAGCTGCCTAACTCGTGCTTGCGCAGCATTATTAAAAGCTCGCCTGACGCCTTTCCTTTTTTTTCTTCTATCTTTTTATCTTTATGTTAATAACAAGGCTGTTAAAGTCGTACGCTGTTGTAACAGCCACGAAATTAAATATTAAAAAGCTTCTTAGATATACGCTGCTTTGTTGTTTCCATTTTCTTAAGTGGTTTGCACTTTGTTTAAGAAATTTTATTTTGCGTTTAATTATATCAGTTGCTGATTTTCTCAAACAAATATTGTGAAATTCATGTTTATATTAATGTGGTTTTTCGTCGTCGTTTCGTATGAATGAGCAAACGGTAAAAGCGGCAGAGAAAGCTAAAAGCTCCAACGTCGGTAACCTCGCGTTCTGTCACAGCCGTGCAGTCGATATTTCAACCCCCGAGGTTTGATTCAAGTGCCTGTGCTGCGGGGGTAAAATGCTCCCCCATCATTTTCATACAGTCAGTTCAGCGTAATACCGTGAGTGGAAAAGTTATCGCCGGACGATGATAGGAAAGGCGTGACTGCCTGACTGCGAGAAGGAGCGAAGTTGCTCTGCGAAGTCGGGTGCGTAGAAGTCCGTAGAACTTCCGTGATATGAAGGTAGGGATGTTTAGGTGATTGACCGGGAAAACCCTGACATTGGCATTGGCATTAAGGGCCCGACGAACATTGCCACGCCTTCCTTTGTGCGTCGACGTCGTGCTGCGCGTTATTCCGCCATGGTTGTTAATTGCATTGGCCTTAATGGATCGATATCCAGAATCGTCGCGAGCGACACGAAATTGCTGCTTTGTGGGCAACGTAGGATATATAAATCACAGAAAAATTTATCTTATTTATTTTATTGTGTGACATCATACTTTTTAAAATTTCTACGCCGAGACTCATCCATTTTATTGTATGTTAATTTTTAGCGCAGTATTTTGCGATGTCCTTGTGCAGCCTTGCATAAATGCACATGTTAAATGAATATCGAGTAAATCGATATTTTATAGTAAGAATAATTAGACGTAACGTAATCGGATTTTACCATAGATTGACATTTCGTGTTACACTTTAACACGCATAGGAAGTGCATTTAATATCATGTATTAAATTTATAAAATGCTGATTCTTCTTTAGGTTATTCATTATATTTAATTTATTCTGAATTCTGTTTATATTTGAATTGAGCATAACGATGTTAGAAAATATCTTGAGAGATATTCGTATTACAAAATAATTACGAAGTTGCATTCGCAATAATGAATTTCTTATAATTTTGTTATTTTATCGTATATAGCTACATGCTTTGATAATTATAGGAAAGTCTAAATCTAAATCTATCTTCGGTCCGTTCAAGTAAATCGTAAAAACGGTACTATATAATACGTGTCTGTAGATTTCTGCAGCAAAAACTTGCGCACTATGTTTCTATATGTTCGAAATGTTTCTATGTTTTTTATACTCCCCGAATCTGGTCTTCTTTCCCTATCTTCTTCTCGCGCGATAGTGTTCTTCCGTGAAAAACTCTACCACGGAAATAACACGAACGTTTACTGTAAATTTTCTTGGAGCGAGGCACGAGAGTACATTATTGCATGCCCCTTTATTCCCCTTGTGCTATTCTACATTATATCCTGGAAACTTACAACGTCAGCTTCAAGGAACTGGTATTTTTCGAGTCGCATTCTTTCGCGCGCGGATGCAACTGTTCTATTATCCATTTTTTTCAAGTTCTTGTTCTAATTTTAATACTCTGCCACTTTTAATTCGCGTTTATTTTATTTTATTCTCAAGGCGTAATCATGTTCCTTGTCCATTTTTTATAATTTTAAGTTTTTGCTATAACATGTAGCTTTAAAGGTGCGCGAGTAAACGATAGGGAAATGACATAAATCATTAGCTTCAATATGCATTTTTTATCGGAAAAATATAACCTCCTGCACGTGGAAGGTTTGTTCGTTAATGTGAAAGCTTCAGAAAAAATCGGCGTGATAAGGTTTCCTTTCGGAACAGGAATTCTTCTCCATTCGAACGGAAGCGGAGTCATTTTTTTCCTCGCGGCGCGCGCCAGGCGGTTGTGAATAGGACAAATGGCGCACTTGATTGATCAACGTTATTGTATTCTGACAAATGACAAATCATACAGTCTTCTTTCGGTTTACACCTCAGAACGGGGATTCGAAATTTTTGGGGATGCGTTTTGAAGGGTGACTGAAAACAATAAGTTTGTTACGCTGCACTGGCGTTGCTATTGATTTCCGATTGTGAGGAAGCCGAGGGAGGAGATATTTTTGCGCGCGAAGGCATAGAGAGCGAAGACAGAGATCTTACCGAAAATATATTGGATTTTCTATGTACGTTGTTAGAGCCGTTTAGGATCATATTGTTCTCTTTACGAAAATCGTTCTGTACTAATTGTAAGTAAATTCAAGAACTAATTATACGTTCGAGAAGACTTCACTGTTTCACACACAACTGGGATATTTAACGTCTCACACTTCAAATCTCATTACAATTATACTCGACGTAATTGTCACATTGGATTTTCTCTCTCTCTCTCTCTCTCTCTCTCTCTCTCTCTCTCTTCTTCTCTCTCTCCTCTCCCTTTCCTCTCCCCGCCTCCTCTCTCACTTTCTCCTTTCCCTCGCCTCGTCCCTCTTTCTCTTACTCTCCATGAGCTTACTTAAGCTTGCTCCTCTGTTACCGTTACACAAGTCATTGTCATCACCTGCTACGTAACAGAATTCATCCGACAAAGCCCCAATTAGAAATCCGGGATGCATTAGATGCATGTTAGCATGAAACGTGCTTTTAATCACTTGTGAGGTATTTCCACTTTAAGCAATTAAGATTTTTTTATAAATTAGTAATTAGAATAATAAATAGCGTAATTAATAAATAAGGATGTGGGTTAAGAAATGTGACACGTATATTGATTGATTTATTATAAATATTAATTACTTTTGTTCACTCAGAAACTTTCGGTAATAATAACTTACATTCAGAATTGCTTGACATTTTTCAGTTTAAGTTTTCGAAACAATTATTTCCACATTTACGAAATAAATAACAGCAAAATATGAGTGAAATATCTATTTTGTTTTTTATTGACTGAGCACCGATTAAAAGAATGTACCCCTACTCTCAAAGAAATTTTGGATGTAATATCTACAGAGGATAGTTTATGAATAATTTTAATATACCTATACATATATTGCATCTAAATCGCGTATCGACATACTATTATTGTTACTTGTAGCTCCATTATCGAGCTTATTGAGTTTTGATTATTTAAATAACTGGATTAATAGGCTATAATACGATTACCTATTACAAACTATTATTAACACATTATCTTGTTACTTATGTCTTTTTGAAAGCAATCTTATGAGTAATTTAAAGAACATTGAAAATTCACGTGTTATTTTAACTGAAACTCTTCTCATACATTTCTTGCCGTTTTAAATCACGTCATTTAACACGATTGGACGTACTAACTTTTAATTTAATACGATTCAACATGTTAATTTAACACGCAACAAAACATGTAATACGAGCCACATGCAAATGTGTCATTTTTAGACGTTTATAGATTTACAGTGAGAAATCTCGTAATCACACTACCGCACACAAATAATATCTATACTATTTGCGAACTGCTCTCTTGCTTATTGTCCTGCGGCATATATGTTGCCATCGTACGCGTTATCGTTTAAGCTACACGAACGTCTTCATCTTTCGGACGACGTCCTTCACACCGGGTGCAATAAACGTCCTCGCTATTATTTCCTCCGTTTCCACCGTCCGGCTTTGTTGCTGGCGTTTATAACTCCGACGCACCATCTCATCGCGGCTCTTCCGGTCCGGACCCAAAGGATTTCAGGGTTGTACTCCTTATACCGTGCCGTGGAGGACTTACCGAGTAATAATGCCAGGGAGTCGCGCGCGCCTGTAGTTATGAAGAACCTTCCACGATCTCGCAATTTCCCGGTTATGCCGGTATCCGGTGAATAGCCGTCCTCATTCCATAACGCGTGTGCGAGCTTACAGCTTGTATATACAGATATACGTGTCGCCGGCGTGGCGACGTGCGGAGTGTCGCAGATTTTCTACGCGAAAATTGAAATTCATCGTTTTCTCATCGCTCCTGTCGGTGTACTATGTATGTACCTTCGGGCGAAATCACGATCCATCTTCACGTAGTTTCACGGTCAGGCATCGTCAGTAACATTATTGGATTCAATCGAGACGGTAAAGTCGACAAAATACTGCTGAAACTGTTTCCTTTTCTGCCAATTTTACAAACATTTTAGCTATTTGATGCGTTATGTAGCGTAGTATAACTTCTGAAATGTAATAACAAGTTTGCGACCAATATAAAGAACGTTACTGTCATTGAAAAACTGATTCTTTTATAAGGAATTCATATATAGCCCATTTGTTAAGAATAGAAAAGTATTAGAAAAAAAGAGAAGATTATTTTTTTATTTTTATAATTCCAAAGTTAGAGTACATTAATTCATGAATTCTTA